ATGCTTTTGAGGGTTGGATTTCTGGAGCTGGAAAAGGGTTGGTAGAGTACTTGCCTAGCATGCACAGGCCCTGTGTCCAATCCCTATCCCTATATAAATAAAGAATGACACACTGGTACACATTGGAAATTGAAGCACTTAGGAAGAGGATCAGAATTTCAAAGAAATCCTCATACTACCCAGTGAATTTGAGGCCAGCCTGGGATGCATAAGACCCTGTCTCAGAGACAACAGAGACTGCCTCATATCAAGAAAAAAATGAGGACGCTTCCTTTAGACTGATCTAGAACAATCACCAAACTACAAGCTACGTTAAATAGAGGATAGGACATCGGACTATCTTAGTGGCAGTGAGCACTTGCTTAGAATGGGTGAGACTCTGGGTTTAATCTCCAGCTCTACTGAAGAAGGAGAAAAGATATAAAAAAACTGGATACCATGCAATACAGTTAGTTATTTGTATTATCAACAAAACAGTATTACACTCACACACATATACAATTGTATACGGATGAATATACAATTGCTAATGTTAACTGCTTGGGTGACCATAAAGTGGCAGGAAACTTTCATATATACCCTTCTCCATATTTTAGGTCAGCTATGTATGATAGTTAATGTTTTTGTTTTTGTTGTTTTGCTTCGTTTTGAGACAGAGTCTCATGTACCCCAAGCTGGCTTCACATTTACTAGATAGCATAGGCTGGCTTTGATCTCCTGATCCTCCTGCCTCTACTTCCTAAGTGCTGGGATTACAGCCTGTGAAGATCAAACTTGATTGTCAGCATGATGGAGTTAAGAAGGTCCTGGGGGCTGAGTGAAACATACCTCTGGGTTTATCTGCAAAGGCATTTCCAGAAAGAATTCACTAAGAAGGGAAGACCCAGCTTGGATGTGAGCGACACTATTCCACGCAAAGGTAGAAAAACGAAAAGGCCAGCTACTCAGAGCAACCGTATTCTTTCTCTTTTTAATTTTATTATTTTACATACATTGCCCGTATGTCTGTGCACCATGTGTGTGCCTGGTGCCAGCAGAGGCCAGAAGGTGTCTGATGCCCTAGGACTGGATAAAATGGCAGTTGTGAGTTGCCACGTGAGTGCTAGGAATTGAACCCTGGTCTTCTGGACGAGTAGCTAGTGCTCTGAGCCACTGAAACATCACCCCTGCCCCACTTTTTCATTTCTAAAACATCTAACAGCACTATCTACGTCATTGGGATGCTGTGAAGATTAAGCCAATTATTATTGGGTCAGGTGTGATGTAACACATCTGTAACTCTAGCGCTCGGGATGCCCGACTCAAGGCTAACCCGAATTACACGGTGAGTGAAAGCCTGCCTCAGAAAACACAACAAAACATTCAAACAAACAAACAAACAAAAAATAAAAACCATATCGTTATTATTATGGTACTGAGGATTGAACCCAGGGCCATATAAACGCTAAGCGAACTTCCTGTATGTGTAGGAGGATTTGATTGTTTGTGGGATGTTGTTTTCTATCAGGGTGCCACTTAATTTGCTATGGATCTTGAACTTCTGATCCTTCCCACAACCCTCATCGCCACCTTCACTCCCTCAAGGTGATGTGGTAGTGGGGATCCCACCCAGGCCTTCCTGCACATTGGGCAAGCACTGTAAGCTTCCAGCTCTAAGCAAGCTTCTAACACTGACCTATATCTCCAGCCCAGGAGGATTCACGTATGCAAATCACTTTGAACAGAGCCAAGCAAAGAAGGCTAAAAGTACTCGACATTACTATTCATTAGCTGTGAACTTTGAGCATTGCTGCCTCACCAATTTATTTTGTTGTACGTTGTTGGGCTACCCGGATAGTAATGAGTAAGTCATACTAACAGTGTTTGGGGGCACTGCTTTTCCAGTAGGAGTGTTTCCAAACCATGAATGTGACCCTGTTTCACAGAAGATGACGTCAACTCTCGCTCTAAAGCTGTGGTTCTCGATCTGTGGGTCACAACCCCTTTGGGATTCAGAAAGACCCTTTCACAGGAGTCACATATCAGGTGCATATCAGATGTTTACACTGAGATTCATAACAGCTACAAAATTACAGTTATGAAGTAGCAACAAAAACTGTACTAAAGAGTTAAAGGGTCACAGAATTAAGAAGGTTGAGGATCACTGCTCTAAGGCCTTGACAGCCCTCCACTATCTGGACCTCCCTCCCCCAAGCTACAGAACAATCTGTGCTATGATGTTCCATTGTTTTCCACCAGAGAGTAAAAAAAAATGATAGGTAAGCTCAGTTGCTGAAGGAACTGGTTTTAACAAAAAACAATGAATTTTAGTCTTGGTCAGCTTCGGTTTGGGGAAATTGCTCTCATCAACTTGAAGTTTTAGATAGTGGAAACAAAGAGAACCACACCACTCTAATCCTGAGTCCTTACAAGAAAGAGTCACTCAGTTACAACCTTCTCATGTTTTCTCTTGCTGTATCTAACAAATGGTTCTTAAGCAACTACTATGTTTGCAGTTTCTGCCACATGACAAAAGAGTACAAGCAGAAAAAAGACATTGTCCCTAACTCTCCTCTAAAAATAACAGCGTTGATAAATTCCTGTGTAACCCTCTTCTTAAATAAGGAGTCCCCTTCATGGCTGCTCCCTGCTTGGACTCCCTCAGATCCTATCCTATCCTACACCTTCTCTGCCTCTTTTCTAGACCCCAAGTAGTGAGCAGAACAGAAGAGAGACTACAAGGCCAGGGAGCATGGGTAGGTTTACCCTCATCACTCCTCACCCTGGCGTCCATCCCTCAGTTCTTCCTCCCACAGTCCTGCCTGCCCAGGACACACTGTTCGGGAATGACACAGGTCAGATGAAGGAAAAGTTCTAAGTCGTGACTACTACATCCACCAAAGTTTAAAACGAGAGATTTTTAACAAGGCTTGTTCCTTAAAACAATTCTGTTATAATGTCAAGGTCCTGCATCCCATTACCAAATAAGAGAAACGTATCTCTAAGCCTCCCTCCCATCATATCCGAGCCTAGTCTCTTAAGGTAGGACCGTGAGGCTTGAGGAAGAGGTAAGGTCAGGCTCAGGGAAAGGTGAGACTGTTAGGTGAGGCTCTCTGCTGGCTTTACTTGGTGACTGCTGAGAATTTAATAGTTACTTTTTTTAGGCTGCGGTAATATGCCTCCATGGAAAATGTCTAAAGCAAAATGTCAAGCAGAGGACAATACTTGGCACACAGCATTTCTGGCGTAGTATCCCACCAGGCCCTGTGTCCAGGCCCAAGACCTTGGGACTGGAACGAACCCCCAGGGTGGCCTCTCCGGTGTGTGTTCTGTAATTCGCAGGCAGAATAGGCAGTCTCAGCACACTACTCCTGTATCCATTCAACAGCTTGCTCACTTATCCGTCAAAACCACTCTTCACGGTTGGGAAAGAACAATAAGCAACTGACCTACAAATAAATGGTCCTGTCATTAGGACCATTGGCGTAGCAAGTTTTAATTCAGTGCCCACCTGCAAAGTGACAGCACCTCATCCCAGTTTCAAGAACTCTCTGCTGAGATGCTGCTGAAGTCGAGGCTTAAGGAACCTGCCTCACAGAGGGGGAAGGGGCACCCTGACGAGACAAAAATGTTGAGTATGTGAGGGACCCAGGAGCTTTAATCCTAACAGTAGGTATGTTTGCCAAACAAAGGAGTGTGGATTTCATTATACAGACTGGGGAACCACTAGAGAATTTTAATAAGACATATTTCTGCTTGGGCTCACCCAAGGGTGGACTGAGGGAAGCCAGGGCTGAATGTAGACAAACTAGTTAGGAAGCTACTGCTGTAATCTCCGTGTGAGATGAGAATATATCAACAAGCAGGGTATCCGAGGAGAGGAAAGATTTGAGAAACAGTCTGCACTCAACATTGGACATGTGTAAGTGGAAAGCCAAAAGTCTTGGGTTTCTTCCTTCTGGTTTAGGGAAGTATTTGGGTAGAGGTAGTATTGAGTCTGTTAGGGCATACTGTGGAAGCATACTGATTTCTTTTTAGGGGGAGGCTGGGGAAGACATGAGTTCAGTCTTAACCGTCACATCTGAGACCGACGGGGAATTGGAACCGAGAGATGCATGAGTCAGTTGGCTAACTAGACTGCCTTTCAGTGTCAAGAAATTTACAAGACTATTCCAGAAGCAATGTGTACCTGGCAGCCTCATTTGGAGAGAACAAGTATGCCGATTTGGAAAAAAAAAAAAAAGACATTTTGCTTGTTGAAAACACTGAAAACGCAGGAATCGAGAGTTAATGGGGAAAAAAGCCCATTATGCTAAGGGCTACCAAAGTGACACTCTAGAACAATTTATTTTTAACCTCTCACTACAGTGAGGTAAACGCAGGTGCTTCGATGGGGGTTCCTCCCCGCACTTGAAAATGAGTGGAGTACCTGGAATTTAGATCTAGGAATTCCTTTCAGCAGGGTTGAGGAGCAAGAACTTAGAAACGCGCCCTCCAGTGGCAGTGGAATGAGGGGTCCCTAGCACCCCTTTACACACCAAACAAAGCCCTGTGAAGAAATGCAGTCTGCGAGGATCAAAAGGCCACCTCGCTCGTACCGCTTAACCAAAAGAACCAAACGAATCCTCCCAGGGGCCAGGACCCCCGACCCCCTTACCTGTCACGTTGGCCAAAGGAAAATTTCACTTTCGACTCAACCAAACAAGCCCTCGAATTTGACAGCTTGCAGTCCGTCCCGCTCGGCGATAAAACACCTACGAGGCGGAGCGCGCAGTCTAATCAGATCCTCCGGAGCCGACTGGGCTGGGCTGCGACCACGTGGGTGACCGCGGCCAGCAGCGGCAAGCAGCGCAGGGCGGAGGAGGGGGCGTGTCCGAGGGCGGGGAGGCCGGCTGGTGGGCGTGGTCTGCCGACCCCGGCTCCCTCCTCTCCCCTTTTGCCTTCGCCCTCGCAGGCGCCACGTAACGCCACGTCCCCGCGCATGCGCACCGCGGCTGGCGGCGGTGGCTGTTTCCGGGCTCGGGGGGCCGGAGCGGCTTGCTGAGTAGGAGGCGGCGGTGGCTGAGGCCGGGGAGTGCGGAGAGCCGTCTCCGGGGCTAGGCCCTTCGGGGGTCGGAGGGGGGCCCGGTCTTGGTTTCTTTGGCAGAGGGGCCGGTGAAGCCGGCGGCTGAGCGGCGAGATGAATTTCCTCCGCGGGGTGATGGGGGGTCAGAGTGCCGGCCCCCAGCACACAGAAGCTGAGACGGTGAGCGCAGCGCCGGGGCCGGGCGGGGGAGACGGGCGGGGGGGGGGGCGTCCGCGTCGTTCCCTTCGCCTTAATTCCCCTGCGGGGACCCGCGAGCCCCCCACGCGGCGGTGCAGCCCGGGCCGGGGTGACAGGAGGGCTTCGGAGACCCGGCTCGGGGCGGACCGCGCGGCCCCTCCCTCCTTCCCTTTAACCTGTCGGCCGGCTTCGCTGCCGGCTGAAACCCGGCTCTGGAGGGTTTGGAAGGAGGTTAAAGCCCAGCTGTTGGCGAGGGCGTGTGGCTAAGAATAAAGCGATATTCTTGGGGCACAAAGCCACCTGTTCCTGCCCCATCAGCTGTGAGGACCGCCGTTTGCTTAGGGTTGGTGGTTCAGACCCTACTTTTCAGGTTCGTCCAAATGTGTCATGTGGCAATACTTCTCTTGCATGCTGTAGTGATTGATCTGCGCACTAACCACTCCAGGGACTCTTCTGCTCTCGTGGTGACACGATTTGTTAATTTTTTTTTTTTTTTTAGTTATTAAGACACGGAAAAACCAGTGTTTGATTTTAGGTCTAGGGTACACTGACTGTGAAGTTTGCATACAATCAACTGGAAATTGCTCTGGATGGCATTAAAAAAAAGACTTACGTGAGAATAATAAATTTAGATATGCAGAAAAATGACCGCGTGTGACATTTTAAAGATAAACTTTGGATAGTTGTCATAGCTCTATTTTGGGGATCCGGAAGGGTCATAAAGTACTCTTCAGGATAGGATAGCGTCTTTACTAATGAAGAGAGAATTAAAGTAACTTGACCAGAGTCTTGGCGCTAGAATTCTACTACGAAAGAAACTAAGCCTTCTGCTAAGTCTGGACTTTGCCGCTGATCCGTGTGTTTCACTTCCTACCTGCAGTTTTGGAAATTTACATAACGTTAACTACAGAAAGTCTCTGTCAGTACTTCCTTGGGGAGATGGAGGACTTTTGAATCCAGGCCCTTATCACATGTAGGGCAAGCCTTCTGCCACTGACCAGACTCGGCACCAGGTTAGACCTGAGCTGTCAGATGTCATAGCTGTTTGCTGAATTTGAAAATCAGATCTCTTCCACCCCACCCCCACCCCATTTCAGGCGTCACTTGTCGCTCACCCCTTGGCAGCGAGGCCACTAGAAGACCAGGAACTCTAGATTACCATAGCCACAGCCCATCTCTTTAACTTTTTTGTATTTTGTCTGGTATTTGTGTGTAAGACACAAAAATTAAGAGCTTGCTTTAAAGTTAGACCTTGGTTTGAATCTAGGCTTCCACCATTGACTGACTTGGATAATAGTTTTTAGCTAAAAGGACAAAAGTGCTGCTTCCTAGGGATGCAGTGAGTCTTTGAGTGAGAAGTAGAAAGTGTGGCCCTTAGTAGATGCTCAGTAAAGGGTAGTCTTGACTGAGAATACCCTTTGGCCTTGTCACAGTGACCTCTGTGGGAAAGGTGATGAGTTCTTCAGAGAATAGGAATTTAAAGCTGAGACTGTCTGGAGCAGCGAGGTCAGGCTTCCCCAGTCACCAAAGTAAGTTGTGCGCTATTGCAGAGCTGGGACAGAGACACTTTGGTTCACTGTGCGTGGATCAACAGCATCGTTTTTACATTATTATTTCAGTGTGCCACCGTGATGAACATGTAAACTGACCTTGTTACTGCTCCACTTCGCATGTACTCAAAGTGGAAAAAGTAGTTTGTCTTTTGAGAAGAGTGAGTTCACTGAGTTCCAGTATGATCAAAATTAGTCCTGATTCTATCAGGAAGTACAGCAAGGACCCATGGGCCACTAATTTGCATGCATTTATAGAGCATCAGTGGAGTGTAGGGTGTAATATTAGGTGCTTTAATTGGCGATTTTTTATTTGGCCTACATGTTTGCCTTAGCAGGGCTTTGAACCTTTAACTTCTGCACCGTCACCTACTGCACAGGTTCTTCCATCGCTGCATCGTCTTCAGAACACTTCTACATCTTCCTCACATCTTTTTCCAGTAAAAAGCATCTTTTATATGAAGTCTACCTGTTCTTCAGACCTGTCATTGATTTTTTTTTTCTCTATAGTATGCAGCCCTGACTTCTTTGCCCAAGAAACTGCAAATGATCTCTTTCCTCCAACAATCATTGCTTTATAACTAGGTGAACATGTCTTGTTCTTTGTACCATTTATATATACCCCAGCCACTGTGGCTTTCTATCATATATATCATATATATATTTATATATGTCATCTTTTAAAGTTGTATGGTAGGGTTTTTTCCCGTAGTAATATATGCACTATAAAAACTTTTTCACTGACATTTCAGTGAGCTAAATCTCCAATCCCCCTTCATAAATATTTTAAAAAATTAATTCAAGTTATATATCAAATAAACAAGATACTACACTCAGAGCAACTTACAACTCCTAGGTAGTAAACAGTGCCATTTTATTCCTTTAGGGACAACAGTTGTTAAATAATTGAAGTCTCTGTGTCAGACTTTTTACTTAAGAGATTTTTCTTTCTTTCTTTTTTTTTTTTTTAAGATTTATGTATTTATTATTTATACAGCATTCTACCTGCATTTGTGCCTACACACCAGAGAGAGCACCAGATGAGCCACCATGTAGTTGACTGGGAATTGAACTCAGGACCCTTGGAAGAACAGCCAGTGTTCTTAACTTCTGAGCCATCTCTCCAGCCTGCAGAGTGTTTGTAATGTGCTGATTGCTTTAGCTGATTTCCTACCTTTACTTTTTTCTTCCTTTATTGTGGGTTGTAGGAGGGGCCAGGAGGGTGATGGTAGTGGTAGTGTTGCTGCTAGAAATTGACCCTGGCTGAGTAAGCTACACCCCAGCCCACAATTGCTATCGCCTGACCTTTCATAGCCTCTACTGAGGCTGATTTTGGACTTCTGTTCAGATATTCTTCAGAACAGGCCAAGAGGTGAGGACCTGTATTTGTATCACGGGATCATCGGCAAGTCTGTGAAAAGGGGGACATTTTAAATCTAGGATTCCACCCACATTGCCCTTTGTATTTTAAAGTCTAGAATTTTTTAATATGGTTTCTTCTCATCTCACCCTCTCCCCGAGGTAAAGACACTGGTGTCTGAAGATTGAAACCCCTTTCACCTTGATTTACAGGTGCTCATAAACTCAGTAAAAGTCCACACATACTTGGGAATGCTCACGTGTTCTTAGTTTTACGTCTCCTCTTCAACTGGTACTCATTTTAAAAGGTAGTGTCTTGAAAAGTCCATTAAGAAATGTGAACATATCTGATTAGACGTAGGAGGAGTGCCTTCTGTTTCCAGGTTAAATCCTGAGGCACGAAAGTGGCCCACAGGCAGAAAGCCAAAGAATCAGTGTTCTGCTGCAGGCCTCTGTGGGGCTTTATCTGGAGGAACTGGCTCAGGAGGCAAAAGGGCTAACAGGCTAGCCACAGGTGTGCTTCTTTTACCTAAGACTGCTCAGGAAGGGATGCAATCTGAAATTGGCAGTTTAGGGCTGGCCCCTGGCTCAGCAGGTAAGTCACTTGCCTTGCAAGCCTGACAACCTTCAGTCCCCAGAACCCACAAAAAAGTGGAGGAAGAGAACCAGCCTGACAGAGCTGTCCTCCGACCACGCTGCAGCCCCACCCATCACACACACACATTAATAATAAAGAGATTTGCTTTAGTTTACAGTTTGTGTTTGATGAAGCACATTTTATGTGTGTGAGCGAGCACATGGTAGTGTTAGTATAATTGTATGCTCTGACACTCCTCTTGGAGTTGCTGCTTCACAGTCTATGCTAGTAGCTAGGTCGGCATCTTACTTGGAACATTGTCTCACTTGGCTTGCAGTGGGAGTGTCAGAGAACAACAGGAAAGTGATCTGCTTCTGATGATGCTTATGTCTAAGCGAAGATGTCTCCTTCATCACTTTCCATTTTGAAGGTTAATTACTTTGGGCTTCTTTAAAGAAAGAGCCCAGCACTTAGGGAGGCACAGGCTGGGTACAGTGACCCATATCTGTAATCCCAGCACTCAGGGAGGCAGAGGCAGGCAGTGAGTCCAGGACAGCTAAGGCCTCAGAGAATCCCTGAAAACTCAAAACCAAAGAGCTACAGTCACTTAAAATTTACATTCCCTAACATTACCAAGGTGTGTTCCGCCTTGTGGATGTAAATAACATTCTTTGGGATGTCCTAGAAAACAGTTCGTTCCCAAGGAACTGTGTTGTGTGGTGGTCACAAACAAAACTGAAAACCTCTTATGTAGACATGTGAAGAGTGCTGTTTTCACAGTTTCCTGTTTAGACCCTTTGTGTGCACACATGCCTGCTTGTGCCTGTGTGTGTTTACTATTCTGAGAAATGTACATAGGGAAAATTTGTCCTAGCAGGTCTGTTATACTGTGATATAAGTATATAATATTCTTATCTAATTTCTGTTTTTCAAGAGTTCTCTGTGATCAGCAGCAATGTATCTAAAAGAATAAGCCCTGAACACTTACGATTCCAGGAGTTATTGCTGTCATCACCAACTGGATTGTCTCCTACGATAGAACATGCCCAGCTCATTTTTAGAGACTTGTGTTTGTTTGCTTGTTTTTAAGACAAGGTCTCACTTTGTAGCCCAGGCTGTCTTTGAACTCAGAATTCAACTGCCTCGGCCCCAGTCCTGGGATTATAAACTGCCACACGCAGCCCAGAAATTCTCAATGTAAAAATGTTAGGCTGACTCTGTATTTAACTGTTTCAAATATCGTGGAAAAGTTATTCTTGTATAAAGTCTCGGTCATCTTTAGTTTGAAAACTTCTATAGTGTTAGATTTTTTTTAAAGGATCATTTTCGTGTGTGTATTACCTGTGTGTCTGAGAATGGGCGCAGTCATACCATGAAGCTGTCTGTCAGTCAGGGAATGGTTCTTCTTTTACACATAGATGCCAGAGATGACATTCAGGTCATCAGGCTTGGCAACAAGAACCTTTATCCATGAACCTTCTTGCCAGCCCTATAAT